CTTCCGATCTCCCCAAAACCCCAAAACCCCGCTAAATGAATTTTAAAAGATATCAAGAAATTAAATATGACTAATTTTTATCATGTCTGAATCTACTCATTCTATTTAATCCATTACTTTTGAGTCTTAGCTTTAATACTTAAGGCATGTACTCCTGCTGCTATTTCCTCAGCCAAGCATTCATTTACTGCTCTATGTCTGTCTATCAATGGTTTATTCTCGAATTCATCACTAACCACTGTCACCTAGAAGTGAGTCTCACCTTGTCTAGAATGCTCTTTCATTGCGTGATGTCCTGCATGCTTGTGGCTCTCATCAACTATCTCTAAGTGTGTAGGATTAAATACCTCTGTAAGCTTTTTCTCAATAGCCAAATATATAGGTCCTCTTGAGTTATTTGATTAGTCCATACTGAAAACTTTTAATTATTAAAATTTAAGTAGCTGAGGTCTAAATAGTAATTTTTTAGTAGTACAAGAATGAGTGAGAAATGTTAACATTTAATTATAAACAAAGCAAAAACAATTTAAATATTTCATTAACAGTCTATCTCAAACCAATAGGCTTAAGTAAGAGTCATCTTGATTTATTAATCATAGAACTACACCTCCCTTGTCCTTGCTGAATGTATCATCTTATTCGTATTGAGAACTTAGTTATCTCTCAATTGCTCTTAGATCTCTCTCATCATAATCTAGGTTCAAGTCATTTACCATGTTTATGAAATCGATATCTTCTAGTTGTAATGCAGTTTTGATATTTGTAATTCTGTTTCTGTCATAAGTTCTTTGGAGATATTCAAGCTTTGAGTAGTAAATTAGGAATATAATGGTGGTTATGATCATATATAGTGAGAATCCAAGTGATCTAAACTTCAAGAACCATTTTGGGGCGAGACCTTTCTCAACACATTTCATGTCTACTTGCAGTGTAATCAGTTGAATGAGCATTAAACTTGAAAATGAGAATAATACATGCCCTAATGTTAAAGGACTTGCAAAGAGAAGGAAAGAAGCACTAGAAAAGCTGAATGCTGCAGGGAGGAAACTGTATATCATCTGATATTTAATTGCTTTCATTTCTTTGTCAGTGATAGCTGTCTCATAGCAAGCTGAAGCAAGGCCGTAATGAATACCACCCTATAGATCAATTTCACTTATACTCATTAAAACTTACAACAAATGAAATGTTCAAAGCTAGAAGTCTCACACTAGTTCTAGCTACATAGGCAAAACTTGCAGGATCCATACTACCAATGCTAAGTAGAGGTGCAAGCATTCCTAAATAAGCAGTGGTACACAATAATGGGAAACTCAGCATGAAGAATGAAAACTTAACTCCTTTAGGTGTTTTGTCCTCTTTAATTACATATAGCATTTCTTTAGTTTACTCTGACACATATTTATCTCTTGCTAATTTTATATCCATATCCTACAAACCAATTTAGAATCGATTTTATCACTTTAGAAGTATTTTGATTACTTACCTCCTCTTGATGAGAATCGGGGACATTAATGGAATCATCCTTCTTAAACAACAATTTGTAGAAAAATCGATAGAAATTTCTGCTTTAATGCTAAACTAACTAATTTTATTTTGAATTTTCAAAATTGAAAGTTTGCGAGGCTCTTAGATTCATGTGCTAATGATAGAATCTCGTGTTTCTACTCAAATTTAACATTTTCATTTTGATTTTATTAATCTATAAATTTATGGAATTATAATTATTATTGGAACTTTCAGAGTGGGGTTTTGGGGTTTTGGGGTTTTGGGGTTTTGGGGTTTTGGGGTTTTGGG